GCCACACTGCCATTGGTCACCGCCATCCACCAGAGTGCCGCTGTAAATCGGTGACGGTTGACTAATCACACTGACATATTACACTCTCATCATTTTTCTCTCATACTACCAATGCATATTCTTACCCCACACTCTCATTACACTCATATTTTGGTCTTAATTAAAAGATATAAGACCATAATTTTGGTGTTTCAAACTTTTTTTACTCCTATCCATTTTGCAGTTTATTTATTTTCGTTAATTAATCGTAAATTCTCCCTACCTCCCAAATTTATGGTTACATTTCAAAGAACATACAAAATCCCATAACTTTTAAAATTATTTTATTTGTAAATTAGATTCAAAAGTAGAAACACAATGTATGTGATAAGATTATTATATTTTATATTATCATATCATCAACAAAAATACGCAAACAAACAAAAATTATTGAGAATCCAAAAATAGTACTCCCTCCGTCCTAAAATGTTCTTCCCACTCACTTTTTACCCGGTCAAACTTTAATCACTTTCTTTACCTATTTTCATTAGGTATTTGATAAAATAATATAGTTATGTCACCACTTGTTTTGTAGAATTTTTGATGTAGTTTTTAAATATATAAATTTTATTTTTAAATTTTACATCTACAATCAAATAAATTGAATTAAAAATAAAGTCGGTCAAACTACGTAAAATAAATCGGGAAGAACATTATAGGACAGAGGGAGTAAGTGTATGTGATGATTTTTTGAGATGGAAACAGCACTTAGATTGAACGGAATAGTAGACATTCGGAAATCGGAATGTCCTATCCTAGTAATTACAATGAGATTTAAAGATCTTTTTAAAAATAGAAAAAAATTAGAGTTATTTTAAAAAAATGGGGTCGGAGAGAGTAATTTTCTATATAAATGTCACATAAGAAATCAATCTAAATAGAGGTAAACATAGAAAAAGTATCAAAATAATAATTTTGTTTTATTTCTTAAATAGGAGTTTGCATTGTGATAATATGATACTATACATGAACATATCATTATACTTTTTGTTAATTTTTATGGTCACTATAAAAACATAATACTCCCTCCGTCCCAGAAAACATGGGAGTTTTGGTTTTGGAGAGGGATTTAAGAGGAGTGTATTTTAGTATTGAATTTCCAAAAATATCCTTTGATGTAATGGGTAAAAATATGATTTGATGGATAGATTATTAGTAAAAAGGTATGATGCGATAGATAGGATATGAAAAAGTAAGGGGTAAAAGTGACTTTATAATAGAAATGAGAAGTGTTTTTTGGGACGGATGAAAAAAGAAAGGAGAAAGGTTTTCTGGGACGGAAGGAGTATGATACTCTACATGAACATATCATTATAAAAACATAAAAATCATATTTTGATATATTGTCACTATTTTATTCCTATTTTAATTTTTTTTTCAATGTCACACACTATCTCATCTAGAGTCGAATATGAGGAGAGTACAATTTGGCACCTCTAGAGTGTCCTAAAAAGGGGCCCTATGAATTTGTTTAGAGGATAGATGGGCCATATTCAATCCAACAACAAGCTCAAACCACAGGCCCAAAATGGAGATGTACGGTTACCAGTGTGTTCTACACAGGGGCAAAAAAACACTCAGAAACAAACACGTGGCGGGACGCAACCACGCACGCTCTTTCTCATCCTATTAACTTTTCTTTTCTACGTCAGAAATAAATAAACAAAAAATATCTACGATTAATTAACGAAAATAAATAAACTGAAAACCAGAAGTAAATTGGTTTTTTTTTCTTTCTTTCGCAGGAGCCAATTCAATAAGAGGCAACAAATTAATTAAAAGTAGATCGATCTGAATTGAATGGGATCAAAGGCGATGGGGACTTGGAAACTACTTGGAGACACTTTGTTCAAATCCTGCATCATTTCTTCTTCTTCTTCTTCCTCAGCATCAATTTGCAGAGGCTTTGTTTCTTCTACAAGGCCTTCACAAAAAGTGAGCACTTTCATTCTTCATTCATTTGCAAAAGAATATAAATGCATATAAATTGGGTTCATTTCCAGGGCCGGTCCTGAGGATTCATCAGCCTGGGCCGAAACAGAAAAAAGGCCCCTAAAGTCTTATCCTTAATGGTCTAAAAAATTCACATATATAAACTAATTATATTTTTTTAAGCAAATTATATTTAAATTATAATGAACGCAATATTATTAAATGAAAAAAAATAAATGACAAAATTATAGTATTATAATTACATACCGTAAAAGCTAGCCGAAGATTCGAAACTTTCTCATTTCTTCATCTCGTTTTCTCTTTTGTCTTTTTTGACCACCGGATAATGGTTTAGGAGCCATAGGTATTGAATTATTTCTGAAATAAAATCCAAAATCATAAATTCTACTAAGTAAAATCAAGAATAAAAAACTGAAAAAAGCAAGCAAATAAATAAATAAATATATCATAAATTAATATCGTCAATTTTTCTTTTTTAATTGTTTTTTCTTTTTCAGTTGTAATTTTTTTTATAAGTCATAAATTCATATCAATTCATCAATTTATCAGTTTTTAATTTTTTTTTGTTTTTCAGTTTTTTTAATATAAATATATAATTATCATAAAAAACAAATTCAAATCAATTCATCCAAATCAAATAAATAACATATAGAACCATTCATTCATTCTATTTCAAAGATTGAAATTAGAAAATATTTCAAATTAAAAACTAATAATTAACCCTAGATTTTAAATCTAAAAAATGAAACAATGAAAGAAAATTAAGATTTAAGAAATAAAAATTACAAAATTGGAAAGGGAAGGCTATGAATAATTAACTGGAGGGTGGAGGCGTGCGGTCGGCGACTAGGCGTCCGGCAGTGGAGCCGTGGAGGCGTGCATGTTGAGGTCGGCGACTTGACGTTTCTGGAATTCTGGTTTCTTTGATGAGTTCGATCGGCACTTACACTTTAGTCTTTAGCGTCTCTTCCGTTTCCTTTGTTTTGGTCTACATAATACACATGGACTGGTGGGCTAAGTTAAGGGATGGGTCATGGGTGGACTGGGCCTGGACTTATATACATATATATATAATATTTAGAAAAAAAATTGTGCCCCTAAAATATCTGGGCCCGGCCCGGACGGACCTCTTGTCCCCCTATTGGGCCGGCCCTGTTCATTTCATTGGAAACAATGTTTTTTTTACAGGGAAATTAAAACTATTATGTTTATGATTGGCATATAATAAAGCCAATAGTGCTATAGAAATGTTTGTGAGTATAGCATATAAAACAATCTTGATGAGAAATTCTTGATTGTTTTTATGAGATTTTTTAAGCCAGATGGCCCAAATTTGTTATGAGATTTTTTTAAAGTCAATAGTGCTATTCTAGACTTTTCTTGCTAGATGGTTAAGCCAAATGGCCCAAACTGCCTATTTCCAAATGGGTAATATGGCATTTTAATTCACAAGGCTAATATCTCTTCAAATAGTGGTTGTCACCAATACAAAAAGTGTCATACTAATGAAATTTAATTGGTGATCGCCTATATTTGAATCAATCATCTCTGCTAATTAAATTATTTTCCATCCACTTTATTTACTAATTGTTGGAGAATTAAACGATAGAATCCATACTACGTATCTATAAATTATTTCAAACGTTCTACAAAAATACTTGTATCAAAAGACAACGTGAATCGTAACTATGAAGTTTTTTTACGAGCCGAGGGCCGGGGGATGATACAGAAGGATTAATTAATAATTTATATTATTTAGTTAATTAGATATTTTAATAGTTTAGCTAGATAGTTTAATTATTTTTATTTACTTTTTATTGTTGAGTGGAATTATAACACTCCTTCGAGGGTTTCTTAAGCCAAGAAATGGAGCTGCGAAAATAACTTGGCTGTCCTAATCTTAAGATAATATTAATCCCAAAATAGTAATAATCCCAATCAATTTATTAAATCGATATTTATGGGTACATAGAACAATAACTCTATAGTTAGTTCTTAATTCTTTAATCTCTTCTCAAACCCTAGTTCTCTCCCCCTCAAATCTCGTCTTCTTCCTCCCCTCCTTGACTTTCTTACTTGTTCTCCCAAATTCTTCCTCTTCTTCCCCTAATTTCTCAATTTCTCTTCTCTGTTTCGATACGATACCGTATCAGGGGAGCCCCGTATTTTAGATCAAAGTGTCAATTTCTAGTGAAATACGAACTATCCCATCTTAAAACGGTTTGCAACGTTCGATTATTCATTCGATTTTGATGGTTGATGTCACATGAGATTTTTAGACTAAATGAAGAAATTATTTCTCCTTAAAAAGAGGTGCTAAAATTGCATAGATTTTTAAAAACATCATTGCTTTTGATTGAACCAAAATTATTATTTAGGCTTAGCTTCTATGATAGACAATATATAGGATAATTATATACAGTGAAAGATGGTAGAATATTTCATTTTTATAGACTTGGTTAAGTTGTTTTTGTAGGCGTCATTATATTTGATCATCTATTTCTGAACTCATTTCTTCCCTATAAATATAATGAGAAAAACAGGCAAAGGTTGATAAAGAGACATGTCAAAGAGTGGTAGAAGCAGCTGGAGCAGTAAAGGAAGGAGCAAAGGAGGTCAAAGGTGTTGTTTCCGAGGTCAAAGAAGCCGTTGCTACCGGAGCGGGATCGGTACGTACGAAAATTTTATCCATAATCTCTATTTTGCCCTTGACTTTGACACTACGGGTGTCGGTTTTATCGTGTATGAACTTATCGCTGAAGTTATTGGTACCAGATCTCGATAAACAGAAAACAGAAATCTAGAACAAGAACTTATTGGAAATCCTTCTCCAATTAATTGAAAAACTTTTTATGCATAAAATACAGAGAAACTATCCCTATTTATAGATGAGTTAACCTTGTCCACCAAGTTAAATCATCAGCCTTGCTCTCCAAGCATAACATCTCCCACTCCTACAAGCTATGATAATCTCAAATCCATCTGAGATATATCTCCTAAAATTATGACTGACTCTACCCTAATTATTAACAAATAAAGACTTCAACATAATTACAAAATAAACCCCCTAACTATTACTGAATGTCAAGATTGGTCCAACAATCACCCTCCCAATCTTGACCTTGAGTCTTCTTTTACTTCTTTGAGTCCTTCGAGTCTTCAATCCTTTCTACCCCAAGAATCTTTCTCATTTCAGCAAACTTCAGCTTTGGCA